GGAGAGAGAGAGAAAGACAGAGAGGGAGGAAGGGAGGGGGGAGAAACCATCGTTTTCCAGAACTCTTCCATTTCTACAGGTAGCTTTATTCACGCGGAGATTCCAGTGAGAACGTTTTATTTTATTTTATTTTTTATTTTTTTCCTTTTTTCTACAACAACGGATATTATTTTTCATTATATATATTTATATTATTAATTAATATAATAATACATATGTATGTGTTCATTGTTTTTAAATAATAATAATAATATAAATCAGTGGTGAATAATTTTTTTTATAAATAATTAATTTAAATGTTTAATAAGTGGTTTATGTGAATTTTTATTATTTGTGAATTTTTTTCCTGGATAATTTTTTTCTTCTGTTTTTGTTTTTTTGTTTTGTTTTTTGCTGGGTGTTTCCCGGCATTTATTCGAACTGAATTTTTTAAATTCTATCGGGCCCAGTGTGGAGGGCCAAAATTGGGAAACTGAATTTTCTCATTTAAAATCAGGAAATTTAATGCGGTAAGTTAAATAATATTTCAAAAACTATATATATTATTTAGTTTCACGCCATCCATTTTTCTTTTTTTTAAATAATATTTTAATATTATGACGCAGTTGTTGACATTTTGTTTGTCGAAAGCAGACTATAATATGCAATTAGAGACATGTAACCCATTTGTTAAATTTAAAAAAAAAATTAATTTAAAAAAATTTTCTGAATAATTTATAATAAATAAATAAATGCGTAAATCTAAAATAAAGTCTCCTCTATATTATTTTATTAAATACATATTAAAAATTACGGACGCGCATCCATTAAAAAAATTTTTAAATAATTATTTAGGGTTTAATATAATATTATTAACAAAAAAATTTAATATCCTGGTTGTTCTATATTAATATTAGTATTTTTTTAAATTTTCATTTATATAACTTTATATTATTACACGAAATTTATAATAGCTGCGATACATAAAAACAAAATCGCAGGTAAATGTGATGTTAACAACAGCATGTTTTCCTTTTTCCAGTACCCCAAGCATGCATGACACATCTAGTTTTGCACATTCAGAAGGTCTCGGAAGAATGGCCTCACTCACGGGTTCGATACCCCAAATGTCCCCTGACGGTTTAGGAATGTGTTTGACCAACGGAAGCGTCGGAAATCTTAAAAAGTTGACCGAAGATCATATTAAGAGACCGATGAATGCGTTTATGGTGTGGTCGAGACTTCAAAGAAGGAAAATCGCTCAAGAAAATCCTAAAATGCATAATTCAGAAATATCAAAACGGCTGGGTAGGTATACTATAACAAAGCGGACAATGTAACAAGTAATTTAATGCCGGGGGTAAATAAAATTTTCTTTTTTTTTAGGAGCCGAATGGAAATTATTAACGGAAGATGAAAAAAGGCCGTTTATAGACGAAGCTAAAAGATTAAGAGCAATGCATATGAAAGAACATCCCGATTACAAATACAGGCCTAGAAGAAAACCCAAAACCTTAAGGAAGGAAGGGTATCCTTATTCCATACCTTATCCATCCGTGCCAATGGACGCATTGAGAGCAGGTAAGTCATTTTTTTTATTTTTTTAAAATTATTGTTATTTGTTAATGTTTACCCCAATGGTTACTAAATAAATATTTATGTATCTTGTATTGTCACATTATTTAATAATAAAAGTAGATATTAATTAATGTAAATAATAATGTAGTGATAACGTATGAATATTACTGGTCACGTCTTGCGCACATATAAGAATACTAGAAAAACTTTGAGGGCAATAATCCGTTCTGCTCGTTAGTCCTTAGGAAATTTTTCACTTATGTAAATATCAATTGAGTATTTGATACATTTAACGTATTTGGTATGGGAAAGACCCTTTTTTTATGACTACAATTTTAGCTAGTAACGACTTTAAGTAGTAATAAAACACGGTCCCTAAAATTTTCATTAATTGCTTTTTTTTAAAACAAATAATAATTACAATTAATAACATTGTATCTAAATAAAACTAGTTCTACATAATTTCTTTCATTTCAACCATCTTTAAAAACATTATGTTCGTGTGTCAAGAGTATGTTTTGTAATTTTTAGGGATGGCAGCTAGTCAAGTAGGTCCTTATTACAATCCTGCAGCGGCGGCTTATGGTTCCCTAAGTGCCGCTAGCATGGCAAGCATGGCAGCAGCCGCTGCTGCACAACAAAATGCCATATCTGGCTTGCCAACTCCGGCACAGGTGAGCAAATTTTTTGTTTATCTATTTATATATATATAGCTGCAATATTATCAGTTGCGGGCGGTTGGTATAGATTCCTAATTGAAAATTTCTTTGCGTGTTAGGTTGTATCTTCAATGGATGCCATGAAATATTCCATGGATGCTGATAAATACAGACCTCCGTACATTCCTCCATCCTCTCTCGCCATGTCGATGTACTCCGATCCAAAATATTTGGATTCCACGGCTAAATCTTACCTCGATCGCAGTTATTTAGATTCTACATCCGCATTGACCAAAGCTTATTTTGAAAATTCCAAAATGTACATAGACAATAAAAGTTTCGGAGATGTTGGAAATTCCTCGCAATCACGATCGAGTCCAAATTACGAAATTGGAAAATCATACGAATCAAATTCTAGAACTCCTCCTCCGGCTCCAGAATCTCCAGAAAGTAGTAACGTAAAATCCGAAAGACCGGATCCGAGTTCGAGTACTTCGACGTCCGCATCATCTGCTACGGCATCACCGGGGTCTTTGCCTCCATATTATCCGCAACACGGCGGTCCCGTGCCCCCGGGCCTCATACCCATGTCTCAATATTCTCAACACTACCACCAAGCGTCGGGTAACGGGGGTTCTGAATTTCGAAGACCTCTCACCGTAATATTTTGACCCGATAGACCTTGGGCGACGGAATCTACCACCTCACAAACCGTCCCGTCGAAAACTTCCGCTGCCCCAAAATAATAAAATTAATAATTTTTAAAAAAACGATGCTTGAATTAGGCCGAAATAATAATAATAATAGTTTTTATATACTCGTTTTTGAACTGTGATTTTAAACAAAATATGTGAACACAAAACAAAAAGTGTTATTTATATATATTAAGACATTGGAAATTTATTAATTAATTATTAATAAATAATAATTATTTATACAACGTCGTAATAAAATTATAAAATAATAATTTAATTATTAAATAATTATATATATACATAAACATTAATTAAATAAAAATTTACATAATTTCATATTGATACCATAAACTAACATAATCGTTCCTATTTAATAAACTTGAGTTTTTTTTATTATTATTTAATATTGTTTTTTTTTTTTTTGTAAAATAAATTAATTATTAATTATTATATTAATTAAACCTATTTGTTTTATGTATACATATATGTACATCGATTTTTTTATTGATTTTTCACGGAACGCACACAAAGTGGTGAGTATTTATCAATGAAAACTTTTTTTACTCTTATTATTATTATTAATAATAAACATTAGGCGTGACGTATCACTTTATTAATCTATTAAAAAATGACAGTAATAATAATAATAAACGAAATAAAATTTTAAAAAAAGTCACAAATGAAGCTGTTTTATATAAAATGCAACAAAGATCCTTAATTTGGGCAAAAGAAAAATTTTGATGATGATGATGATGATGATGGTCAATAGAAAGAGCAACTCACGTTCATTAATTGTATTTTCAAGTGGTTCGTGAATTCCAATTGTTATGGTTAACATGACACACGATTATTATTATTATTATTATTATTATTATTATTATTATTATTATTATTATTATTTTACATTTATCGAATTTAAATTAATAATTATTTTTTAAACTTTTTATTGATAATTTTTTTATATAACGACGATTATCATTTTTCACACATTTTAATATCATAGACCGATTAATTTTTAATTAAAATGATAATGATAATAATAATAATGATAATAAAAGATAATGAAATTATTTTTAATAACAACAACAACAACAACAAAAAGAAGAAAAAACACGTTGATTCTCAACGTGTTTTTTCTTCTTTTTGTTGTTGTTGTTGTTATTAAAAATAATTTCATTATCTTTTATTATTATTATCATTATTATTTTTAATGTGATTGTTGTAAAAATATGTAAAAAAAAAAAAGAAAAAAAGAAAATTTTGTGTATTGACATTGTGAGTGAGAAATAGAAATAATGAAATGTGTAGGATTGCCATGGGAACGGAAAAGCGCTTTTCAAATACAAAATCGGTCCGAAAAAGCTTTCATTCTTTGTTTGCTTTGCCTTTTTTTCCTTCTCTTTTTCTTCTATTATATAAAAAAAGGTTCCTCTTAAAAAAAAAAAATCACATACAAATGTATTAAATATACATACGAAATTTTAATTTACTCACTCACTTATTATTATTATTATCTGTTTAAAAGTCTTTAATTTCTCTCTCTCTCTCTCTCTCCCCCACTTGTTACGTCATTGTCAATTTAAAAAAAAAATTAATTATTTTTTGTACCTTTAACGATAATTGGAGTCTTTAGTTGAGTCTTTCCTCATTTCACACACAAATTTCCCCCCCTTCTTTCCCTCCCTCACTTCCTTTTTTATTGTCCAGAACACAAAAGTCTGGAAACCAATTAATTAAATCTATACATGAGAAAGTTGTGGTGGATACGGGGAATCGTATCCGTTTTTGTTATTATTTAGAAATCAAAAATTATTATTATTATTATTTTAACATATAATTATTTTATAGGTTTTTAAAAAAAAAAGGTTGAACCTGGAACCTTATTTTTAAAATAGAATTAACAAAAATTGTTTGTGTGTGTGTGTGTCTTGTTTTCTCTCTATTCTTTACATTTCAAATATTTAATGATTATAATTTAATATGTTTAGCTTTCGGTTATATTTTTTATAATAATAATAATAATAATAATTTAACTTTACACCTTTAAAAAAAAAAAAATATCCAGTTTATTCTTTGGAAATGAAGTCTTTGTTATTAAATTTTTTTTTCTTTTTTCTTTTCTTGCCTGCCTCCTTGTTTTTTTTGTCAATTGATTTTTAACAATGATGGTTTAAAAAAATAACTGACTCATCGATATTTTCTTGTAATTTTTTTATTTAAAAAAAAAAAAATATTGATTAGAATATTTTAAAATGATGTAAAATGTTCCCCTAACCTCCCCACCTCCTCCCCTCTAATGTATGCGTTAAATATTTAACGTAAAAACGTAAATTACAATTTAAAGAAAAAAAAAAAAGGGAAAATTTACGTATTTTGTCGTCGGTATTAAATATTTGAAAACTATTTATTTTAAACTTGAGTAAAAAAAAAAAAGAATAAAAATGATAAATGCAAGAATGAATAAAAGGAAATAAAAGAAAAGAAAAAAAAAGAAAAAAGGAAAAAAGAAAAGAAAGAAATAGTTTAAAATCAATGTTGTTTGATTTAGAAATATTCTTTGTTCGAATGTAATCCATTATGAATGGGGTTTTGTATATTGAGGTACCCATTACTCGCTTCTTATTTTGTTAAAGGTGTCGTTTTCAATAGATTTTTCTTAATATTTCCTTTTTCCTCCTCCTCCTTTTCCCCCCTCCCTCCCTCTCTCTCTCTCTCTCTCTCTCTCACTAACAACATGTGTGTGTGTGTTTGTGTTTGTTTCATAAATGGAACCGTTGGTTAAAACTGTAAACTTTTTTTTTTTTTTTCATTTTATTCTAACATTTATTTATTTTAATTATAAAATTTGTCTTTTTAAAAAAAAAAATCACAAATATATAAATTAATAATAATAATCAATGGATAAACAAAAAAACGTGATATAAAAGAAAACAATACGAGAGGATAATCCGGGGATAATCCATCCATTGTTTCAATTTTATATAAAATAAAAGAAAAAAATATTTTTATTACTCGTTCGACGATACGTTTGTAAAACTTTTATTATTATTATTATTATTTGAATAAAATTACCCCGTAATAAAGTCACATAATAATAATAATGATAAAAATACGGAGGATTCAATTTAATAAATAATTTATTAAAATATTTTGCCACGTGGTTTTTTCTTGAAAAAAAAATAAAATAAGATAAACAATTAAATTATTATTATTATTATTGATAAATGTATACGATAAATAGTTTTTGTAATTTATCTAAATTTTTTTTTTTTATACATTAGTCATTTATTCTTTTGTATCTTTTTTTTTTTTATAAAATGGACTAAAAAATCCAATATAAAAGTTTTTTTTTTTTTTTTTGTATTGAAAGAGAAAACGCGGGGCGAATAAGAAGGAAAAGTTTTAGAATGAAAAGAAGAAAAGCTATTGCTTGTAGTTAATGAAAAGTTAACCCTTCCAAGGAACAACAAAAAGGGGGTTCATTGTCATAAGAAGGAAACAAAAGGTTTCGGAAAACGTGGAGCGGGAAAAAGTTGTAAGAAAGAAAAGATTGGACAAAAGAAAGCTGTAGCTAAAACAGAATTAGAATCCGAAAGAGGAAATAGAAATGAGAAAATATGTTTAAAAATAAAAAAAAAAGAGACCGGGAGAGGGTGGGGAAAATTCGTTTGTTGCTATTCCTGCTGTTTATTTCGTTTCTATTCCTCTTTTTGATATTGTTTCTGCTGTTGCTGTTGCTTTTTGATTAAAACTTAAATTATCGGTTTTCCTCTTTCCTTTATATATATATATATTTAAAACATTTAATAAAAAACCTAAATTACGTTTGTATAATAATAATAATAATAATAATAATAATAATAATCCAACAGAAATATAACAATCACCAGCATCAGGGCGGAATTAATACTTGGATGGGTGACCGCAGCTTGGGAACAACATTGGCGACGCCGAAGAGGAAGAAACCGAAAATAATTCCAGCTCTCCTGTCGACGTAAGATATGAATCCAGGTTACTCCACAGGTGTTGCTGTCACAGGAACCCAGTCCAGGAAGACTTACAAGAATCCTATTCAAAGACGTTACATCACTGATATCCAGGCATTTATACCGTTGTGGATCAGGATAGAAACCTGGAATAAATGTTGAAAAAACTCCGACAAACACAAGACGAATTGCTGCCGTGAATAAAAGGTAAATAATAATAATAATAATAATGAGTCAGGGCACCTTTTCTTTTTTTTTTCTAATACTTTCAATAACGATGGACTCCGTTTTTTAAAAAAAATTTAAATAAATTTTCACGTACAAAAAAAAAAAAGTAATAATAATGATGAAGGAAATGTTTAACAAAAAAAAAGGGGAGGCGGGATGAGAGAGGGATAAAGGGAGAACGAGTACGAGGACGAATTTTCAACTTTTACCGCTAATTATTTATAAATCTCATGAATTTTCCGCAGTGTTGATTTTTCACCATTATTTGCATCCTTGTTAATGATGAGAGAGAGAGAGAGAGAGAGAGAGTGAGATTCATCGCATTTATTTATTATTAACTTTTATTTTCGTTTTTAAAATTTATTATTATTATTATTTTTTTATAAAAAAAAAAGTTTCAATTATTTTTTAACACCTAATAATTTTTACACACTCATTATTTCAAATTCAATTTTATTATTATTATTATTTTTTCGTTTATTTAAAAAAAAGTCGTTACGATTATTTAAAATTAAAAACAAAGAAAAAAAAAATTATTATTATTATTATTATGCGTTTCATTAGTTTTATGGTAATATTAGAGACCGCCTTAAAGTAAAAAAAAAAGGAAAATTTTCAGTTTTCTTTTTTCTTTTTTTTTATTGGAAAAAAGGGAAAAAGTCAATTTTTTTAAATTTATATATGGATATATTATCATTATCTGTATAATTTGTTACAGTTGCTTCACTCGGGTCAATGCTTTAGTGGTGGTTGTTGTTGTTG